AGAACTGCTCAGTTTGTCCATGAGAACTGTTCAGTTTGTCCATGAGAACTGTTCAGTTTGTCCATGAGAACTGTTCAGTTTGTCCATGAGAACTGTTCAGTTTGTCTATGAGAACTGCTCAGTTTTTCCATGAGAACTGCTCAGATTGTCCATGAGAACTGCTCAGATTGTCCATGAGAACTGCTCAGATTGTCCATGAGAACTGCTCAGATTGTCCATGAGAACTGCTCAGATTGTCCATGAGAACTGCTCCGATTGTCCATGAGAACTGCTCCGATTGTCCATGAGAACTGCTCAGATTGTCCATGAGAACTGCTCCGTTTGTCCATGAGCAATGCTCAGATTGTCCATGAGAACTGCTCAGTTTGTTCAGTATTTAGAAAACTGTCTTAAAAAGGTGTGGTTAAAATTGTGCTTAGCAGTTGATAAATGATGTTTTAATTTTTTTGGTTWTGTCTTTAGACACTAGTCAGGACCACGCCATCATTGATTTGCTGGCGGGCCTGGAAGACGATGGTTTCCACAGGACCACTGTCAGGCAGAACTCCCGGTCCCAGTCATACCCTGGTGCTAGGAGCTACCAGTGTAACAGCGATGAGGAAGAAGCAGGACCGGAGCTGGACAAGGAGGAGGCGGAGCTTAGCGTGATCATGTCTCAGCAGTGGGACAAGGAGCCACTGGACAGCTCACCCTCATCACAGAGGTCAGTTTCTGTAACAACTGTCAGGGCTTAAGACAAGTTAGCAAAAGTAGCAAAAGGCTGTATAAAAGTAGTTGAACATTAGCTAAAAACTGAGAGTAAGATGATGCAGATTTGAAAAACAGTGAGTTGCTTTGTTGTATGTTTCTGCCTTATGTTAAACACAACTAAGAAGTGAGTTGGATGAGTGTTTCTCACATGGAGCTGTGTCCTGTCTGAGCACAGGTCTGCAGTGACTGAGGCAGAGGACGGCTTCAGTGACGAGCAGCAGGAGTCCTCTGATGAAGACATGGAGTGGAGTGGGAACAACTCTCTGTTTGCCAACCTCTCCATCCCACAGCTGGACGGGGCAGCGGATGAGAGCAGCGGTGAGTCGCCTCAAGCTTAGATGTCCCGTGACAGAACTGACATGTCAGTCTGCTTTAATCTGCAGATTCATCCATCGTTTCATCTTTACTGCACTAAGTGACTTTGAACTGTTTATTATTTTTATTTTTTAATATAAAAAAGACTTTGAAGTGTTGACAGCCAAGGGTGAAAGGGAAGTAATGTTTGATGTGGTGGTAACAGAGAATCATTCATATTAGTGTGAGAGTGAGATATTGCAAACTGTTATTTTAAAGGGAACACAGACTAGTTGTAGTATTAGACATCATTTGATAAACATTTATTTTACCTGTAAAACAAAGACTGTAAAAATACAGTAGGTTTTATTAATTAAAAATATATTTTGTCACATGAACAGCAACATTTTATTAACGCTAGGTCCTCCATTAGTGCGAGGCTGTGAACTCTATCCATCCTGAAGAGCTGCTTCATGGAAGGAGAACCTCAGTTTAGCCTGTTAGCTTTCACATTAGCGCCAAGCTAATATTGTTAGCTTGGGAACTATTGTATCGCTATATATCCATTTACATTTATACATGGGGTGCAACAATACATGTACCCGTATCGAACCGWATCGAACAGTGCTTTAGGTTCAATACACACTTGTAT